TATTGTATTTTATCAAAAGGTGTTCAACCATCAAATGAAATTATCTTGACTGCTAAATCTTCAGATGGGCCAATGAAGCTTAATATACCAATAGATCATGTAACCTAATTACAGTTTATTCTACGCCAGGCTACAAATGTTACTTTTTTTCAAATTTTAAGATTTTCTTCTAACTGTTGTGCAGAATAAAGCAAACTTAACAGCAATAGTAATAATTGTTTCAAATTGTTCTTTACAAAATCGTTTATAATCACTCGAAAGGTTCTATTGGAAAATTTTGACTTTTATTCATAATTATTCATATTATTTTTAGAATCATATGAACCAAATTTCAATATAATGCTAAAGGTAACAAATCAAAAATTTTATTATCTATTAATATGTAAAAAAAATATATTTATCAAGTTGAATATAGCATGGAAAATTAGTAATACTCCTAATTTATTTTACACTTAAATATATATATTCAAAAAAAGATTTATTTTTATCAAAAGATTTACATATTTTAATTATCAGATGATGGTTTAGAAAAAGAAAAATAACTAACAATAATAATAAATCATATACACAACTAGAAACAAACATAGAGGATCTATCGCCACTACCTTTTGAATTCCTTTTGGTTTAATTAATTAACATCCACATACACATCATTATGTATAGAATATCTGATCTTTATCACTTTACATTCGTTTCCCCTTTTTCTGATATCATTATAATAATATTACTGTATTACCTTTTAATTTAATTAATTTTAAATAAACAATCTTACAAGCATAGAGTCTAACTCTTGCTGTTATGATAAATAATTGTGTCTGCATAGTGTTGGTTTCCAAAACTAGAGAGTTTCGCAACTGTGCGAAAGTCAAAAGGTTTCGCCATAAGTCGAAACTAGTTTTGACATTTGACCTTTGACTTTCGCTTCTTCAAAATAGTTTCGGCAACCAACACTAGTAGCAACCACTACCAAATTTGAGATATAACTTCTTTATCATATGTATCTACTTTATGAAAAATGTTAAAGCAGGTTGTTAATAAAACCGAAAATAAATCTGACCCTCAAAGTCAAATTTTGCCTTATATTCATATACGTAAAATTCTGTTTGGCGCGTCCAATTGCAGATATAAGTAGAAATAAATGTCTAAATATTACATCATTATGAATATTTGCAGATTTTTGATCGCCTAGGTCTGTCTTTTATAGTAAAATCATTTATTTTAAAAGTAAATGTAATAAATAAATAGATATTAAAATTTTCCTTTACCTATATACATAAATAATGATTAGAATAATAAACAAGCAACAATAATGATTAAATTAAATGGTGTTTTATCTCCGACTTTATTCATTTAATTATTTATCATAGTGATGTTATTAAATATAAGTTAAAATATAAGTTAAAATAAAAGATAAATTTACATAAACTATTGAATAATTGATAAAACGTTCGTTAGAATATTTTGTTCATAGATATTGTCCTTTAATGCTTGTACAAACTATTAGTCGTGGGATATTGCAGATCAAATGTCATTCAATATAAACGTTAACGAATAAAATTATTATCGTCCACTTCAAAAAAAAATTTCTCCGTTTTTCATATAGCAAGCGATTTTCAACCATAATAAAAATTTTAGAGCCAGACTAGAACTTTCTAACAACAGTTAAAAGAAAAGGTTAGCTCAAATATTGGTTATTCTACGCTAGGTCAGAAGTGTTTCTTTCTTCACACTTATTTTAAGATTTTCTTCCACCTAGTATCCAGACTAAAACAAATTCAGCGGCAACAATTGTGCCAAAGTGTTCATTCATAACTACTTGAAAGGTTGTGCTAGAAAAATTATGACTTTAATTATAAGAGACTGATTTATAATTATTTATAGGCTATTAATTTATATTATAATATTAATTGATGAAATGAAACTATCATAACAACACTATAATAGAAATGCTTAAAAGTTAAATAGCCTATTACTACCTTGTATATAAAAAACAAATCTAGGTTTTTACAAGTACAATCTGTGCTTATTATTAATATTATTTATTAATAAATTGTTACGCGATCATCTAGATCTCATATACATCGGAATTAATGAGAGTGAATATAACAAACAAACACAAACACGTTCATTATTAAAAAAACTTCCTCTTTAGATGATCGATCCTCTAGGAATATAAAATAGAACTAGAATTAATAATAACAACAGAGCAGTTACTTAACATATATAGCAAGAATACAATAAAATATAAAATGATAAAAGGTGACAAGATCAAATGTTAAAATCACAAAGCAACAGTGCGAATTCTATTTCAAATATTCCATGATCAAATTGATAACATCAAATCTATTATCACAATGAAATTGAGAGAAGGAAAAAGGTTAAGTTATAGATTATGTTGCAGTTTGTTTATTAGTTTATTTTTCTAAATTCAATTAAAGAATCTTCGATATAATAACCGTGATGGACCATCACGATGTAATTATGTTAATATAGAACAATATATATATATATATATATGAATTCTTTTAAAAATTAAGAAAATAAAAGACATTGAAAAAAGCTATTATCATCACAATGTAATTATGTTAAGAATTAGAAATTAGGGATTGGTTCAAAGCCAAACCTCCAATGAGTGAGGAATTTGGTTCTATTTTCTTTTGTTCCTGTTTCAGCTCCATCAGTTCTTGTTCCTTCAGTCCCAGTGTCTTCTTAACTTCGACATTCACCAGTTTCTCTGATTCCTGTTTCTCCCATGCGAATTCTAGCTCATCCTGATTCTCCGATGCGAAGTTTAGATCCCACAGAATAAATTTCATTTTAATGTCCTCCTCTTTTGAAGAGTTTTCCACTTTTGAAGAGTTTTCCACTTTTGAAGAGTTTTCCTCTTTTGTGGAGTTTTCCTCTTTTGTGGAGTTTTCCTCTTTTGTGGAGTTTTCCTCTTTTGTGGAGTGGAAAGTAGAGAAGTAATTATATGGATTGTAAGTATTGTAATTCAAGTTAGACAAGTAATTATACGGATTGTAAGCATTGTAATTCAAGTTAGACAAGTAATTATATGGATTGTAATTCAACTTTAACCATTTTAGTAATCCATGCTTTTTAGAAGAACGGTGAGAATAAACAATATAATTTAGGAATCCTGTCTCAAGTATGTCGATCAAGACGTGACCTTCGATTTTCATACATTCAATACTCTTATTATCACTAATAGAAAGTCCTTTTTCAAGGTCGTTCAGTTCTTTCGGTTTGAATCTAATGATTTCATTTTGCTTTTTGAAACTTCCACCAGCATAATTGTGAAATGCAATTCCATCACAACCTATTTCATTTCTAATTCTATCGATTTCATTCTTAATTTTTTCCTTAATTTCCTTGGTTCTTCCCTTATATTCTTTTTTTGTTTCTTCCTTCTTTTTTTTCTCTTTTGCTTTCTCATATTCTTTCATTAAATCATCGTATTTTTTAGTTATTTTCTTCGTTAAGTCATCGAATCTTTTCTTAGCTTCCCTATATTCTTTCTCTTTTTCCTGGTATACTTTATTAATTATATCCCTATCATTTTTTTCTTTAATGAAATAGTATTCTCTCTTTATTTCCTCAAATTCAATCATTTTTAACTCATATTCGAACATAGCCATTTTATCTCTTATTCTCTCTTGCTTATCACACAAATCTTTAAAATTTGTATAACCATGTGTATGACCATAACTGCGTTTCCTCATTTGTTGCTTGTATTCTTTCAATGTTTTCTCACAATCATTTAATTTTTTCTCGTATTCATTTTTTTTCATCTCGTGTTTTTCAATTGTTTCCTTGGATTTTTTCGCCGGCTCATCATCTTTCATTATTTCATCATTTTCATCTATCTCGTGTTTTGCAATTGCTTCCTCGGATTCTTCCACCGGTGTATCTTTGTATTTAGCCATTATTTTGTTCACCTTATCTTTAATGTATTTTTCGCTCGCTTCCCGGTATTTTATCCTTGACTCAGCCTCTATATTTATCCTTTGTTTATCGTATTTATTTTGCTTTGCGCTAATGTATTCTCTCAATTTTTCCACATAATCTTTCTTTGTTTGTTCATCTTCCTTATGTTCATTCTCGTATCTTTCCGTTGCCTTTTTAATATCATTTAAATACTCCACTTCGTTCTGTTTTCCTTCATTTCCATCCTCATTCTCCATTTCATCCCCGAGCATTTTCATTATCTCTTTATCCTTTTTTCTCATTGCATCCTCATAATTTCTCTTTTTTTCCTTGTATTCTTTCTTTATTTTTTCGTATTTCAATTCTTCCTTTTTTTCATTGTACTCCTCCATTCCTTTATTCTTATCAATTATGTTCACATAACTCATTAGCTTCACGTAATTATTATCGTAATCATTACTCATTGCCTTCTCGTAATCATCAGTTGCCTTCTCGTAATCTTCCTTTGCCTTCTCGTATCCTTCCCGTGGATTCTCCATTTCGTCTTCCTTTATTTTCTTGTATTCCCATATTTCTTTCTTGTATTCATTCTTTTTACTTACATATTCAACTTTTTTTTTCTTAATTTCTTCCTTGTTTTCAGTCCCTCCTTTTAATTTCTTATATTTACCTTTTATTTCCTCGTATTCTTTCTTTTTTCTTTCATATTTTTTTTTTTTTCCTTTAATTTCTTCCTCGTATTCTTTCTTTTCTTTCTCGTACTCAGTCTTCTTCGCTACCTTTTCATTTCCTAATTTCTCATATTCATCCTTTATTTCCTCGTATTTTTTCTTTTTTTTGTTGATATTCTTTCCACTTTTCCTCGAATTCTTTCATTTTTCCCTCGTACTCAGTCTTCTTTGCCACCTTTTCGTCTTCTTCTAATTTCTCATATTCATCTGCTATTTCCTTGTATTTTTTCATTTTTTCATCTGCTATTTCCTCGTATTCTTTCTTTTTTTTATCTTTTATTTCCTTATATTCTTTCTTTTTTTCATCATATTCTTTCTTTATTTCCTCGTACTCAGTCTTCTTTGCCACCTTTTTATTTCCTTTTAATTTCTCAAATTTATCCTTTATTTCCTTGTAATTTTTCTTTTTTTCTTGATATTCTTCCCACATTTTCTCGTATTCTTTGATTTTTTCATCTTTAATTTCCTCGTAATCTTTCTTTTTTTTCTCGTATTCTTTCTTTATTTCCTCATTCTCAGTCTTCTCACCTCCTAATTTTTCATATTTATCCTTTAATTCCTCGTATTTTTTCTTTTTTTGTTGATATTCTTCCCACTTTTCCTTGTATTCTTTCATTTTTTCTTCTGCTATTTCCTCGTATTCTTTCATTCTTTCATCTTTTATTTCCTCATATTCTCTCTTTTTTTCATCGTATACTTTCTTGTCCTTGTCCTTAGCCTTCTTTTTATTTCCTTCTGGATTCTCATATTTATTCTTTATTTCATTGTAATTTTTCTTTTTTTCTTGATATTCTTCCCACTTTTTCTCGTATTCTTTAAATTTTTCATGTGCTATTTTCTCGTATTCTTCCTTTGATTCCTCGTACTCAGTCTTCTTCGCCATCTTTTTATCTCTTAATTTCTCATATACATCCTTTATTCCCTCGTATTTTTTCTTTTTTTGTTGATATTTTTCCCACTTTTTCTCGTATTCTTTAATTTTTTCATCTGCTATTTCCTCGTATTCTTTCTTTTTTTCCTCATACTCAGTCTTCTTCTCCCCTTTTTTATCTTCTTCTAATTTCTCATATTCATCCTTTATTTCCTCGTATTTTTTCTTTTTTTGTTGATATTCTTCCCACTTTTCCTCGAATTCTTTCCATCCTTTATCATCTATTTTTTCGTATTCATCATTTATTTCCTCATATTCTTTCTTTTTTTCCTCATATTCTTTCAACATTTTCTTGTGTTTTTTCCTTTTTTTCTCGTACTCGTATTCATTCTTTTTGTACTCGTATTCAATCTTCATCTCCTTCTTTGCACTTTCTCCTGCTTTCTCGTATTTACTATTTATTTCCTTGTATTCATTCTTGATTTTCTCGTATTTGTAAAATTCCTCGTATTTTTTCTTTTTTTGCTGCTGATATTCTTTCCACCCTTTCTCGTTGTCTCTCATCTTTTTCTCGTGTTCTTTGATCTTTTTCTCGTGTTCTTTCATCACTTCCTTGTATATTTCTATTTTATTGTACTCATCATTCATTTCCTCGTGTTCATCATTTATTTCCTCGTCTTCTTTCTTTTTTTCCTCATATTCTTTACACATTTTCTTGTATTCTTTCTCGTGTTCTTTCTTTTTCTCCTCATATTCTTTCCACATTTCCTTGTATTCTTTCTTTCTTGTCTCGTACTCGTATTCTTCCTTTTTGTACTCGTATTCAATCTTCATCTCCTTCTTTGCACTTTCATCTGATTCCTCGTATTTACTATTTATTTCCTCGTATTCATTCTTGATTTCCTCGTATTTATTCTCATTGTAAATTTCCTCTATTTTCTCGTATTTATTCTTTATTTCTTGGAACTTTATAGTTTCTTTATCTTTTTTTTTTTTGTTTTGTATTTTCATTATATCCTTGTATAATTTTTTTGTTTCGATGTATTTGTTCTTTTTATCATTGTAATCTTCCTCGTATACATTCGTTACTTTCTTGATTTTACTTTCATCAAAATCAAGTTTAACAAAGTACATAGATTGTTGAACAGGCATAACGTAGTAATATTGCTTAGACTTGGGCTTCTTAGTGTTTACTTCTTTATCTAATTCATTAATCTCATCCTCATCCTTACCCTTTGAATTACTCGTTTCCTCTACATTTTTTTCTGTGGATTTTGTATAAACATAAACATAATTACCCGTAGAATCAACTGAATATTTTTCCAAATTACTAGGACATATAACACTGTCGCCATCATACTTATCCTTATTTATATTAAAACTTTTAACATTATAAATATCCATAATGCCAACTTCTGCGTAAACTTTTGTTTTATCTTCAATATCGTTATCCTCTTTGACATGTTCAACACCTTCTTTATTTTTATAAATGTATTTAACTATTCCCTGATTAGAAAAGAATGATGCGATTGAACGAGTCAAAACTGTGGTAAGAATGGTGTTGAAAACTGTGCTGATAATTGAAGGAGTACAAAACCAGTAATATTCAAAAAATATTTGGCCTAAAGAAAGGGCAGCGGTAAGAAAGAAAGTTTTCTTACGAATAAAACCTTGGTAATACCTTCTTTCATCTTCAGTAAGTTTACCAGTGTCTTTTCTGAAAATCCTTTTTATCAATTTTATGAAACGTAGTTCTAAATTAGGAAAGTAATACGAGGTAATTAAAGTAGTGGTTGAGATGAAATAAGAAATCTTCATGAGATAATTTATGGTTAGCAAATCAATTGCTCTTAGAACTTCAACAAGACCAATTTCCCCTTCTCCTTGTATGTATAAAAGTACTTTAAAGACATACACGAATTGCAAAATAGTATAAATTATGACTTCAAATGAATGGATAAAGTAAATCCAAATAATGACGGCTTTTAATCTCTTGTAGAAACGCCTGTAGAGTTTATTATTTGGATTGCTAAGAATTTCCCGTTTTTGGTGAAAATCATATCTAAGATACCCCAGTACAGCCAGAACAGCTACAGCAGTTACAATAAAAACACAACAAAGTACAAAGAGTTCATGATTGTAATTATTTCCAACTGGTCCAGAATCAGACCCAACAATTACAACTGCATTTTTTACTTGTAAAAAAGTTTTTACAACACCACTCTTGCTTGAAGCATCTTGCAATAATCTTGCTAATAAAGCCAACCAGACTGGTTTGGCGAAGTTGTACCACGAAATAATGAGTACTAAGGATGTCCCCAAAATAACAATATCATCAAGTAGACATGTCGTTATATATCCAAACACGGATGTTGTACCATAAACAGCTACAGTAAAAAGAAGGCCCATAATAGGAAAGAACGTTCCTAATTGAGAGAAAAAGCTGGGATATATTTTAGCGTCATTATAAGTTCCAACAACAGGACAAGTTAAACCACTTTTTGATTGAGTTGGATCATTTATCGGAAACTGTATTATGCTGTTAGGAATAAGACTGTTTTGATTTTGTTCAGCCGGACTTTTATTTTGTGCGTTTGATGTAGAGACAAAACAAAATAAAAGACAAAATAAATATAAAATAAAAAGTTTTTGATAAAACTTGAATTGAAGAATTTTAAAATTCATTATAAAAGAACGCCCTTGAATAATCTATGAATAGATTATTTCAAAAGTTAAAAACATTTATAAAAAAATGATTTTGCACTTAATTTATAAAAAAATTGACGATAAACATTCGTTGATTGGATGAAGAACCATTTTTAACAATCTGTTATCATTTATTATCACTTAAATTAGATGCGTAGAACAATAGATCTTTCTCGAGAATTTAATATTGCTCGGCTTTCATTATATCAGCATGTAGAATAAACTTCTTGCAAAAAATATCTTTGTAAACAATAATGCAACGAAGGTTATACTGAATGAGAATTTTTTTAATAATGCCAAATATATACAATCCATTTCCGCCAAAAAGCATTATAAAACGTTAAGTTGATTGTTAGTCAAGAGGCGTTTGTCGACAACATTAATTTTACTATTTATTTTATATTTGGCATTTGAAAAAAATCCGGAAAGGTAATATCAACGTTGTGGTTCCATTAATGGCAGCATAAAGAGCATTTAGACGAAATAAATAAAAGATGAATCTCATGAAGCTGCAAATTTGATTTGTTGGTTGATAATAATTGCCTTTTCCGCTTTTTTATTGTATCATACAAATTTGGTAATTTTTTTGTGAACATCAATAATTCAATTTATCCAAAATTATCTTGTGAAATGTTATGTTGTGAAAGAAGCACAACATTCTTTCTCTTTTGAAAAAGTAAAATCTTGAGAATCCATATTAAAGCAATTCAAACAAACGGGTATTCCAAATGTTAAATTTTTTTTTGACTTTCGAAAATGGAAACAAATAAAATTTTTTGGCTAATATATTATTAGTTAATTTATTATACATATACAGTAATTCAAATTATCTCCACATCTGCAACTTTGTTTTTCTGAAATACATATATATATATATAAACTAATTAAAAGAATAGCAGTGGTCGATCTATTTCACTGTTTATCATGTATGCAGCCCAATTCCTCCCAGACACAGTAGACGTTAAATGACAACGTTTATTGATTCAGATGCTGCATCTCAAAAGTCCCTTCATCGATTGATAAGGTTGATTTATAATTTGACGGAAAAGGAATTATCAATTATTCAAGCGTGTATATTATATTGTAGAAATTGTTTACATAATTATACTACCTTCAGGTAATTTGTCCAGTATTTTTGGGTAATGCTCGTCAACATTAAGAAAAAAAAATTTGCATGTATAAAAATAATTTAAGATCTAAAATCAAATTATAATATCCAACAACATTTCTTCAATTATCAAGTTTATTCCTCCCAGGTGATCTCAAAATGTGTGTTATGCTTAAAAATTAAATTTACGTCACAAGATTGAAAAAATTATTGTGCCAATTTTGGGTTTGACGTAGTAAACTTGTGCTTTAATTTCGTGGTAAGGTGATATATTAATTCTATGATTTGATTTTTCTTATATTTTCATTCTTACAAGACTAAATGGGACTAGGTGTGCAATGTTCATTAAAGGTGCCAAATTTAGCGCCACAGATATTGGAAAATTTCAGTAGGTTGTTACATGGATGTGATATTAATGGCCAGTGCGCTCACCCTCTTCATTCGATTATATAAAGAACTGATTTCCGTATGCTATTGAAAGTGAAGTAAACTTAATTTTCAAAAAAAAAAATACAAAAATAAAAAAATAAAAATCGAAATGAACAAATTATTCAACATTTTCTTTTTTCTTATTCGTTTCGTTTTCCCAATTGTCATTTACTCACAATAGCATAGTAATAGTGGAAGTTTGTTGTTACACGAAATGTTATACAGAACCCATTGCTCCTGAAACTTCACCAGTATACAATTGTTACCCATCTAAGTTCAGATCCAATTCAAATCCAGTTTATCACTATACTTTTTATTGCCAGAATGTTTGGCGTGTATTGTAAAGCTACATTGCACAATATAAAAAATTAGTGTAACATTTTAAATTTCCATTATGCTACTCACAATCATGTGATATTTATATTAATTATAATTTAACGGTTTTCTTCGACACATACACAGTAGTTACCTTCAACAATCCATTAGGCAATGCCTCCAACCAATTAAATAATACCTTCAACAACCAATTAGATTATACCTCTAACTAAGTTGTTATATGGTTTGCTCAAAGACCTCCCATTGCTGCGCCATTGGCCAAATAGGACTTCACGTGATTTTAATTTTAAAAACTATTTCTTGCTGCCAAATTTAGATACGATAGTCAATAGCTAGTTTAAATTTAGTAATAATTTCCTAAATTTAGAAATGATCATAGTAAACAAATTCCTTACGAACATAGTAGAGTACATGTTTTAAAAAAGAATAGAACTCTATAACAAATAATTTTTTTGAGAAAATCTCTCTATTACATTAAAACTAAAGACATATTATATCAAATAATAGAGCTATTTTTTAAAAAGGTAGGACAAAAAGTGAATTCTATACTTTTAAAAATTGCCCAAAATTTAGGAGATCTCTAGACCGAGCCAACTATAGGAAAAACTTCCACCTAAAAATCGAAGGCTTCAGTAATAACGTCTTCATAAAAGAAGTTAGCAAAATTAAAGTTATTACTTTTTATAATGGTGCTGATATTGATAATAACATTGTAGATTTCTGTTCAACCTTCACCGTAATATGTTTACTTGACAATAACAATTATGAAGATTATAATACTACTACTACTACAACTTCACCTTTCATTGATAATCCCTATTACCCTTACAATTTCAATTATACACAAACCACTTTCATTCCCCGCCCAACTGTTAATATAACTGATGCTGAATTTCAACAACTTATTCTTGGTATATTATCATTTTATCATTTGTCTATATTAGTTCATTTGTTGACTTGATTTTCATTTACTAATATAATTGACAATTATTATTTAGTTACTGATCCTAATGACAATCCAGTAGGGTGCGCAAATATGAATTTTACTGTTATTTCAGCAAAGTTAACAACAGAGAAGCCAACAAAAGCCAGTAATCCCTAAAGCGTAAAAACTTCCTTTCCTATTTGTTTAAATCTCTAAAGTTATTTTTAAAATAAATTTTTTTTTTCATATGTATTTATAATTTTTTTTTAATAATTACAATTCTCGCTTTTCATGCATGCAAAAAAGAATCAATTCGTATTAAAAAAATTTTTGTTGCTTAACTAGATTTTAATTCATAGAAATTAGTAGCCATAAATGTAAAAAGTCAATTCATACCTTTCATTCAAATTTCTTTCCGTGATATTATTACCCGTAAATGAGTTGAGCGCTCCCTAAATCTGCTGCGTTCCTTAGACTTTTGCAACTAATAAAATTTTTAGAGCCAAACTAGGACTTCTAAAACAAGAGTCTAACCTAATTACAGTTTATTCTACGCCAGGCTACAAATGTTACTTTTTTTCAAATTTTAAGATTTTCTTCTAACTGTTGTGCAGAATAAAGCAAACTTAACAGCAATAGTAATAATTGTTTCAAATTGTTCTTTACAAAATCGTTTATAATCACTCGAAAGGTTCTATTGGAAAATTTTGACTTTTATTCATAATTATTCATATTATTTTTAGAATCATATGAACCAAATTTCAATATAATGCTAAAGGTAACAAATCAAAAATTTTATTATCTATTAATATGTAAAAAAAATATATTTATCAAGTTGAATATAGCATGGAAAATTAGTAATACTCCTAATTTATTTTACACTTAAATATATATATTCAAAAAAAGATTTATTTTTATCAAAAGATTTACATATTTTAATTATCAGATGATGGTTTAGAAAAAGAAAAATAACTAACAATAATAATAAATCATATACACAACTAGAAACAAACATAGAGGATCTATCGCCACTACCTTTTGAATTCCTTTTGGTTTAATTAATTAACATCCACATACACATCATTATGTATAGAATATCTGATCTTTATCACTTTACATTCGTTTCCCCTTTTTCTGATATCATTATAATAATATTACTGTATTACCTTTTAATTTAATTAATTTTAAATAAACAATCTTACAAGCATAGAGTCTAACTCTTGCTGTTATGATAAATAATTGTGTCTGCATAGTGTTGGTTTCCAAAACTAGAGAGTTTCGCAACTGTGCGAAAGTCAAAAGGTTTCGCCATAAGTCGAAACTAGTTTTGACATTTGACCTTTGACTTTCGCTTCTTCAAAATAGTTTCGGCAACCAACACTAGTAGCAACCACTACCAAATTTGAGATATAACTTCTTTATCATATGTATCTACTTTATGAAAAATGTTAAAGCAGGTTGTTAATAAAACCGAAAATAAATCTGACCCTCAAAGTCAAATTTTGCCTTATATTCATATACGTAAAATTCTGTTTGGCGCGTCCAATTGCAGATATAAGTAGAAATAAATGTCTAAATATTACATCATTATGAATATTTGCAGATTTTTGATCGCCTAGGTCTGTCTTTTATAGTAAAATCATTTATTTTAAAAGTAAATGTAATAAATAAATAGATATTAAAATTTTCCTTTACCTATATACATAAATAATGATTAGAATAATAAACAAGCAACAATAATGATTAAATTAAATGGTGTTTTATCTCCGACTTTATTCATTTAATTATTTATCATAGTGATGTTATTAAATATAAGTTAAAATATAAGTTAAAATAAAAGATAAATTTACATAAACTATTGAATAATTGATAAAACGTTCGTTAGAATATTTTGTTCATAGATATTGTCCTTTAATGCTTGTACAAACTATTAGTCGTGGGATATTGCAGATCAAATGTCATTCAATATAAACGTTAACGAATAAAATTATTATCGTCCACTTCAAAAAAAAATTTCTCCGTTTTTCATATAGCAAGCGATTTTCAACCATAATAAAAATTTTAGAGCCAGACTAGAACTTTCTAACAACAGTTAAAAGAAAAGGTTAGCTCAAATATTGGTTATTCTACGCTAGGTCAGAAGTGTTTCTTTCTTCACACTTATTTTAAGATTTTCTTCCACCTAGTATCCAGACTAAAACAAATTCAGCGGCAACAATTGTGCCAAAGTGTTCATTCATAACTACTTGAAAGGTTGTGCTAGAAAAATTATGACTTTAATTATAAGAGACTGATTTATAATTATTTATAGGCTATTAATTTATATTATAATATTAATTGATGAAATGAAACTATCATAACAACACTATAATAGAAATGCTTAAAAGTTAAATAGCCTATTACTACCTTGTATATAAAAAACAAATCTAGGTTTTTACAAGTACAATCTGTGCTTATTATTAATATTATTTATTAATAAATTGTTACGCGATCATCTAGATCTCATATACATCGGAATTAATGAGAGTGAATATAACAAACAAACATGGGACATTTAGTAAGTGGACAATATGCATATCGAAAAGATCTTGGTAGTCTATGCAGTATCTGTAATGAATATTTTTATGAAGTTTTTACTACATTGAATAGCATTATCCATGCACACATAGTTGGTAAAGAAGAAAAGGTACATAATAATATATTTTACTTACAAAATATGTAATGATAAATTTTAATTTGTTATACATATAGAATAGGTTAATTACAGAATTGGAAAAATTGCAGATTCATTCGAGAAGAGGCTTCGAAGAAAAACTTGCCGTAAATAGTGATTATACAATGAATAACATAGTGAACGTTGTACAGAATTCGATCAATTATTTGTAGTCATCAAAAATTTTATGAGTAAATCTGAAGAACAAAAATCCACAATTGAAGAATGTCGGGACAAGTTATATTATTTTCTGGCACACCAAGCAAGGAAAATATATCTGAATAATCAACTTAAATCTGCAAAATTAGACAATAATGGTGCAATTTTAATTTGTGATTATAAAATGCGTATTTTACCAAAGACTGAAAGAGAGACCAAAGAGAAATTCTTTGGGAAGCATGGCTGGACATTGCATACTATTTTAGTTTATACGAAAATTGATACTAACCAACTTAATGTTCAAGCATTTGATCATTGGAGTACTGATACCAACCAAATGCTTGGTTTACAACTTCTTCATTCCACAATGGATTGAGGTGTTTTCAGATAATGGTGCTCATTATCACAATTCGGAATTGATGACTACAGTTTCTTATTGGCATCAATGGTATAGTATTGAAGTTCGTGGTTGGTATTTTTTTTTAGCCAGGGGAAGCAAAATCAAGCGTTGATTCTCATCATGCACAGGTAAAATTTTCTAAAATTATGCAATTATATATATATTTCATTAATTAAAGCCATACCTTTCATTAGATATCTCATGCTATCAAGAGATATGTGCGTGTTGGCCATAATCTAGATGAAGGAGAGAAAATAGGAACAGCAATATGTGGATTAAAGGTGACTTTTGTAGCTCATCTTGATCCAATGCGTCAAAATCAAAAATCACAAAATGAAAACAATTGATGGAATCACAAAATTGTTTTACTTTGAATGGTCAATTGAGGGCGATTATGCTGGGTTTATGTTTTTTAAAATGAGAAGTTAGATTTACCTCCAAAAATAAATTCTTTATTATGTGTGGAAAAAAGAATTTTTATTATTCGATGTAGAAACATTTTACATGATTCACAATTATTTTGAAATTTATTATTATGTTGTCTCTTTTAGTGGATGATTTAACAAATCATTGTATCTTCAAATACTTACTGCAAATTTGTAACATAATGATTATCATTAATTGTTTGGTATGAACTTTATAAATGATATTAAAAAAAAGGTTGATTGTTATCAAGGAGTTCGGTTATAATTTAATTGAGGATTTTGTTTTGTCATTACTCGTCTTCTTTGGTTTCGGGTGTTGTCTTGTAGAATCTTGTTTATTATTTTTTCAGATTCGAGCGATTTTGACTATATCGATTCTAAGAGTTAATGTCTGTCAAATTAGTTATTAATTAAAAAAAGAAAAGATAACTTACTTCAAGCATCCTCAAGGATGCTTGAATTATTTTCATCAACTGGCAATACACAATTATCTAGTTTTCCAAATCTATATATGCCAGACCCGATACAATCCATTGCATAAAAGTTTAACTCTACACCTAATAGTTAAATATTCATGTACTAGATATCATAAACATTTTTTATTCTTATTATTTCTATTTATAATGAGCAAACTTACCAATCTGTAACCATCCATATACAATTACTTTCTTGAGTTGTTCATCCATTACATATGAACAGATTTTAAAAAATTGATTTAGACTATCTCTTAACATGATCATAAGCTTTACTTTATCAACATATTGTTTTTTCCTGCAAGAAGCAGGCATGCCAAAAAAACCCAGGCCACCAGAAACCTCTCCATATATGATCTCAAATTTAGTTGGTGTTTTAATCAAGGTTCCTTTCATGTCAACTTTGTATCCAATCTTTGCTCTTGAGAAAGGATACATTTTTTCATTTCGTGCTTTATTGGTTGAAATTGCTTGTATCTCACCCCTATATTTAAAAACATTGTCATTTGAAAACCCCTCAAAAGAAAATGTTGAAGATAATGTAGGTGATTTTTTTACCAAGTGTTTTTTATATTTGGCGATTTAAAAATACCAGAAAACAATGGAAATGTTGACATTTTCAATCCTTCTTCAGTGCACATTTGAATTAAATTTGGCATCTTATACTTCCTGGATAATAGTCCAAAATAAGAACACCATATTAAATAATAAGAAAATTTAGATTATATATATTTAATACACATACATAAATTGAATGTTCACATCCAATTTGTTGAGAACTTCATCTTTGTCAATATTTATGCAATTGTCATCAAAAAATTTTTGGATGTTGTTTGGAGTAATAGTGTTTTTATTCCATCTAATTTTGTTAGAAAAGTCCTGTGATAATTTTCGAATGACTTCATCTTTTATTTCAAAGTCATTAAGATTTTCTCTAGTCAAGTCTAATATTCCCCAGTATGTCAGACTAGAATTAGCAAATAAATAAAATGTGTAATGTATTAATGAACAGGAAGTTAATTGTAAATACTTTAAAATGATGGTTCCAAACTTACGTTAAGATTTTACAAGTTTTTGGTATCTTTTGCTGATATTTATGAAATGATTCGATTGTATTTACATCAAGAAGCTCCTATTGATGATGAAATAATGTGTTTGATAAATACCCTTTGGTACTTTATTATGTTCCAAGTGTTTGTTCATAAAATATTTATATCAAGCTTTACCTCTGAATGTCTATCATTATTAGCATTTCCAATTGGTAATTGAATTTCATTTGATAGTGAATTTTCATCAACATTTTTGATTATTATTATTGATTCTTGATTGGATTCGTTAAATAAATATCCTTGCAAGTCACCATTATCTACCACATATTCAATGTTTATATTATTGATATCCTTTTTATATTTCATTACAGAAAAGTAAAGTTCAATTTCACTTAAAAAACTCAAAGACCAACTTATTTGAAAGAATACTGAATTACTTACAGAATCTACTGTAAAAATAGTGGCAAAGGAGCCTGGATAATCATTTGCTTCTTTGTTAAGATTTTCTTTATTTCCAACTATACATGCAGCCCAAAGTATTTTGACATTGTCATAAAGGGGGTTACACATGTAGTAAAGGGGTGTTACACTTATGTTTTTAATAGTGAGTGCCGTAATTAATTTCTACTTTCTACCATCAAAATTGGAATACTTTTGACCATTGAAATCACCAAACCAATTTGGGCTGCATGTATATTTCCAACTTTATTCTGGTGTATTGAACATGTTTATTATTTGTCACCTAAGCAATTTTGAAAGTCATTATAATCTCACCTTTTTCATCATCAGAGTTTTAGCACTTTTGGTATCCATTATTTCCTCTATATTATCTACATCTTGATGATTTCTCAAAGTTGTACAACTATTATCAATGTTGTGTATCATATTATCTCTGGTTGCAAGAACCTGTTGCCTCATCTAAACAACAAAATGCTATTCAGTATTTTTTTTTTGTCTTATGAATTTTCAGATTAGAGGCCCACCTGTAAGTGCTGAATATTCACATGTGCATATTTCAAATCTTTTTTCAAATTATTCTTTGATGTAGTAAAATTCTTGGCAAACAAAACACAGAATTAGTAATATTTAAAAAAAAAATTCTACAATAACAATAAAGTGCAAAGAAGCATTGAATTAAGAGCACATCCTTGTTAGACTAGCAGTCCCAGCTTGCACTAAGTGTCGAACTAGCAGTTCAGATTAAGCTTTTAACCCTTGCTAATTGATTTACGAAACTTATCCTATTTTCATTCAAACCCCGTCCCATTAAATGAACGTACCTTTCAGTCATCAAGGATTTCTTGAGCTTTTTCTTTGCTCGCCACGTCAAAATCAGAATTAGGATTTGCCACCACTTGAAGATCCTTTTTTACACGATCTAGTATTTGTTTTAAATCCTTTTGTTCAATTTTTGCACGGTAATATTCTATTATATTAATATACGTCCAACTTTCAATCGCGGTGACATAATAAAAGGCTATAAAAGCAGGTGCAGACATGTTCTTGAAATTTTTTAAAAAAAAAATTTTGTTATGTTATGATATATAACAATTGTCTGGAAAATTCATGTGCTATATAGGAGTTAAATCTCATTTCTTTCTTGTTTTATTTTTTTTTTTTTTTTTAACCTTTAGTCGAAATGCAAAGACCACTTACTAGTACTAAAAGCAATCGATATTGGAGACAAGCATCAGGGAATGCGGTAAAGGGCATTTAAACCATTTATAAAATTACCTTCACTTCATTAATTGATTCTTTGGAAAATTATTCATTATGTGAAAAACATTATAATCAGATTGTTGCTACTAAAATTTTTATTAGATCTTTTTAAATTCAGATATGAACAAAGATTCAAATATACATAAATTCAAAAAAAAAGATCCCGGGAGGTTAATATTTTGGAATTACTGCTGATACTAGAGTAGGCAAAATTATATTTGTGGCTTTGACATCTCAAAGAGCTTCAAAAAACAAGAGACATGCAAATTAGAACATCAACAACAATCGAGAACTATAATGGACCTTAATAATAAAATTGCATAACTGCAACAGCAATTAGAAAATCTAGGTAGTAGGTACCTTTTATGATCACATAAATGAAATTCAGAATTTGCATGAAAACAATTTAACAAGAATAAATATCTCATTTGAGAACTGGGATTCATGATCTGTAATAGAAATTACACCTGCTGAATGTGAATCAGTTTGCAATGACATTGGAGATTCTAGACTTGGAATAGTTATGATTCTGATGACCTAAACCAAGGAAAGATCTGTTGCAGTTATACATGGGATGGTAATTACCATAAATATGCAATTCGTAATTATCATAATTAATTACCACTTTCCTCTTTAAAACATAATTATGAAATTAATTATGGGTGATGGAACTAATTATGATAAAACTAATCACAAATTAATTATGGGAAATACCATTTTCCATACAAACCATTGTTAACAACATCGAAACCTTTGATTTATACTAAAGAATTTATTTATTATTATGTGTGAAATTATTTTACAAGTGAATTAATTAATGATAATAAAAAAATATTTTTGCCTCTACTTATTAACAAGGCATCGAAATATTAACTAATTATCCTGTTGTTGTTGTACATTTAAAATTGGGGTTTTTTATTTTTCTTGTAAACAAATAAAATGTCACGGCAAGGCTGTGTCGTTAATTCTAAAAAAAAAAATATTATATAATTCATTTATCGCATGATTTAAGTTGAATATGGATTTTTATCATTTAGTAAATTTATTGATTTAATTTATTTGATTTGTTTAAAATAAATTTGCTTCGCACTTACTTCACATTGCCACATTTACATCAGTGTTATACACGGGACATGTCCGCCTAATATTAATTGTAATAGTTAATATTAAGAATATCCGCGTAACAATTTATCACGCAACAAAACCGTAATGTTGCAACTTTACATATTACATAAAAATTATACATAGCGTTGCAACATAATCACGATGCAGTTTAAGCCAATTTTATATTTATATTGACACACTTTTAAAAACATTATTATCGTAAAACATTTGATACGGTCGGTATCTTTAAAAATGACAAACATAGATTACACGTGGCTCGGCAATGTCCATTACCGAGATGATTACCGCGTGTAAGATATCACCATATTTTGGACCAACTTTGTTTTTGTTATCAATAGCAAATTCACCTTTAATTATTTATATGAAAAATATGAAAAAGAAAAGATTTTAGAATGCATAAAACATACTCGTGGGAGGAAAGAAATTGATACAACTAGGAAATACCGTGATCTACTTTTTACTTGAATGTAACATTACATAAATATTTATAACAAATATTGCAACATTACGGTTAGTTGCAACCGTAAATTACGACCCCTCCAGGTTGTGATTGTTGCAACACCGTAATACCGTAATTTTATATTACGGGTGCCAACTTTAGCGGATGTGTCCGCTCATTTTCTTAATTTCTTCACTTAATATGACTAGGACCAGTAATATAAGCCATAAGTTAACGTGAGAAAATAAATGCCCCTACCACCTTTATTAACTCAACATATTATTGGAACAAATATTAAACTAAACCAAAGCAATTCAAAAACCTTTTGTAAAACATGCGTTGAAAAATTAGGGGAGGATGAAGGGAAGAAAAAATGGTTTCCAAATAAAAAAGATCGAATAATTCAGCATATAAAGAAATTCCCTAATTTTTTTGAAAAAATTAATGAGCAATAATTTTGAGCTGCAACAAAGCAACGATATATCATCAAAGTGTGATGCTTGTTTAAACATCTATCTTGCACACTTAAAATTGATTTACATTTTTTTTTTTATAGATATCCAAATTTCTACAACTTCTTAAATCTCCTTGACAAAATTTTCCTCAAATAAAGTGACCACCAGGTCTTCATCACATGGTCCCATGGATACTTTACATAGTTCGGCCGTTATCCACAAACAGTGCTGTAACGGGACATGTCCGCGTAACTATTTGTCATGCGGATGTGTCCGTTCATTTACTTAAATGCCCCGGGCGTTCAGTACTAGAAGTACAAGCCGCCAATTAACGCGAGAAAATCCTTTACCATCAACATATTAGTAGAACCAATATTAAATTAAATCAAAGCAATTCAAAACCATTTTATAAAACATCTGTTGAGAATCAAGGAAAGAAGAGGGAAAAAAAAATAGTTTCCAAGCAAAAAAATCGAATAATTCAGCATCTAAAGAAATGTTTCATTTAAAATAAATATGAGCGGAAATTTAGGTGCAACTCAATTACGATTGTTTAAATGGTTTTGCATAAATGTTAAAATCAAGATCGAGGAAATTATTATAATAATAACACTTTTTGACCAACGAAATTAGAATTAATTAATTAATTAATTCTATATTAATAATTTAGGGTCTTGGAGGCAGAAAGTTGATACTGTATATACAGTATAAATTTATTTTCTTTACAAATAAACGTTCTCATAATTTAATAAAACAAATTAATTCTTTTTTATTTAATAAACACTTTTGTGAACGGAAATTAAACAGTAGGGTTTAAGTGTTATTAACCAAAAACATTATCACACACTGATTATTGTGTTAAAGTAATTGTTGTAAACGTACTGGTGACTTCAATCGACCAAGAAAAGTAAAAGTAAATAAAAGGAACTCTATATGAGCATTTTTTGCTTCGTAAAAGGGCCATCTTTTTTATTGTAATTCGTTGTTAATTGTACTATAAAGCGTGCTTACAGATTCGTCAAAGCCTTTTGGGTGTAAGAAAGCGGTAACAAGCGGAAATAAATTAATTAACGAGTTAGCTAAAAGGCCAACTAAAAAGCTACCCTCGTATTATTTGCAAGCAAAATTTATATTTTTGTCCAGGAATATTCGGGACATTTAAAGTGGCTGACACGAACACGGACAGTCTGTGACCGTATCTGTTAACAACATTGTTTAATATTAATAAATATATATTTGAAATTTCACGTTGCTTATTAAATTATAATTCAATATCTTGTTGATGTTATTGCTATCTTCTTATCACTAATTTTCTAAACACGATAGAAATACGAAATTCCATATATTTATTCTCCAAAACAAATAACCTTCATTTACATAAAATTTACAATTTTTTTATTTATCAATCTTCATACATGAATATAAATTTTGTGTAATAAATATTATTGCAATGTAGATTTTTTACTAATTAGTGTAAACATACGATCTAATACTTTTGTTTAGGGAGTAAAAAAAAAAATATATACTAATACAATTATATAAATCAAAATTTATTCATTGTCTCTATGGATTCAATTCCTTCTGAATCCAGGTACAAATTCTTCAAAATATTCTAACATTCGAATTGTTATTTGTTTTATCGAACGAATCTTTAGTTTTTCTTCTTTATTTTATCTGTTTTATTCGAATTACTTGATTTGTTCATTATTATTATTCATTTTATTTATTTATTCGAATTACTTGATTTATTCGTTTTATTCATTAATTCGTTTTATTTATATATCGAATCATTTGTTTTCTCCGAGTCATTTGTTATACTTTTTAATTATTTATTTGTTTTATTCGAATTATTTTATTTATTCGAAATCACTTGATTTATTTGTTTCATCTGTTTTAACCCTAAATCTGGATCACGGTCCCGGACCGGGCCTTTGATTAGACTGACGGCTTTGGGCCAGACCAGACATTAATAATCCTAATTTCAATAATTATGCTTGCAAGTTTTGATGTTTAATTTGTGTAATTAGTGGTTGTATCTTCAATTATCCAGGTGTTTGAATACTTTGCCAATCAACAAAATTCAACACCTGAATAATTGGTCAAATTAAAAGTTTGGCTCCTGAATGACCATCAACTATTCACCAAATATCCACTGAATCTTGGATTTGTAACTACCTTTGGTTATCCCATGAGCAGATATAAAATGTGAAATATGATTAGATGTATTGTTATGCCACAGCTTACTACAACATCGGTGTCCCAGGTAAATATGCTCCTCAATCAATTGCGACTAGTTGCAACTAATTGTGGCATATAAAAATTAAATTGCAGTTGCAGCTGTGGCACATGAAAGCTGAATTGCAGCTAATTGCAGTTCTCATCTTTAGTCTCGGATATTCGATTTACATGATGCGTTTTAGGTCCATCATCACCATTAATAATTTCAATTAGATCCATCCATATCCAGATGGATTTTTGGAACATCCTTTTTTGCTCTTTTGATGGTTAAATTTCTTTTGAATGACATTGTGATCATTTGATATATTATATTGTTATACATGTATTGAATAAATTTCATTCAATTAACATTAATAATAATAACTCATTTATTATTTCTGTATACCATCAACTATTGGTGAAAATTTTCAGCACCTGATTGATTGATCGGATAATTGAAGAATGTTATCCAATGGATATAACCACTATATGCAATATTTCATAATATTATGAAGACTGACATAAACTTATGTAAATAGTGTAA